GTCATTGTATTCGATTTCCCCAGAATTGCTTACCCTACATTTAATTGAATTATATACAAGCTTTTCTTTTCTTGTTGTTCCTCAGTTTTTCTTTGTCAGTTGCATGAAATGTTCTAAAGTGTTCTATTCATGAACTTGCCTTGCTTGTCTGGTTTCAAGGTTTAAATGAAAATGTTCATTTTCCTGGTTGATTTAAGCCGTCCAAGGTCATCATCAGTGTAAATATTCTGCCTTTGAGTGAAATTTGTCTTCAGGTTCAGTCCAAGTAGAATTAACAAAAGACAAAAAACAAAGTAACAGGAATCACCTTCAGTAAATCACAAACAGATAATTTAATCAAACAGATTTACAGATAATCAGAAGGGGCTTTTCTTGCCTCTGATACCTTTGATTGACCGACTACTAAAGGTCAGAGTGTATTTAATCAAAGCTACCCTCTTGCCACCCACTCAAACTGTCATAAGGGAGGCTGCATGTATGTACTGGTAGAATGAAAAACTGAGCTATTAACAAGCTCACAGTAATGTATTACGGCTAGGTGCCTCTGCAGGATGGATTTTTAGAACCGAGTCTGGTAATTGCACAATGAGCAGAGTGCTGTTAAACATCATAATTATGCTATGCTACCTTGGGATCTTTTTATTTTGCTGGAGGAGGAACATGTACTGCAGGGATGGCAGAATTATTTTTCAGTCCATTTTTCTTTCAAAACCACCATCCCTTTCCCTAATTACTCAGACTGTGTGGATGTTTAATTTTTTTTTTTTTGTGAAGATGGGTAAAATGTATTAACGTTTTACTCCTGCAATTTCCTGTTGCGATCTCTTTCCCTCCTGTATAAAAAGGTTTGACAACTAGGCTAAGCTAACTACCTGTGGGATACCGTTTATGGACACTTAGTGACCCCAAAGTTAAAACAAAGTCACCACAGACTAACAAACACAACCACAGGTGCTCTATCTCATTCTTTAGGCCTGTTCTTGTCATGCTGCAGTGAAGCACTCATTTCCTCTTCATAATTGACACAGCCATATCCAGGAAAAGACGTGCTGACATTTGGTAATACATGCCACCACTCACACATCTCATCAAACACTACTCATCCATGTACAGCCCTCGTCCAACGTAGCTTTTTCACATGAGTTGGAGTTGATAGGAGGAGCAGACAAATTGAGGTGATGACTGTTAACCTTCACAGGTGCTTGACTTCCCTTTGGTCTGCAGTGTCACTAAGGCACGTACATAAGAACAGATTAGAGGTGGCATCTTATACCTAATAATAATGCAGAGAAAATATTTTACCTACTGTACAGAAGCAGAATTTGAGCAGTGACTGAACTAAAATTTTGTAAAAAAAAAAGTTTGTATCGCTTTAACATTAAAAAAATCATTTTTAAACTTAAACATTATGATGCCCAAAAAAGGACCTACACAGCTTTGCCTGACCGTTTGAAGTTTATGTTTAAACCTATACCCTTTTGTCTCATAAGGACAAAAGGGTATAGAGAAGGGTATACCACTATTCTTCTTCTTCCAGAAGAAGAATAGTGGTATACCAGAGTGGGTGACGACTCCTCTGTGCACTGGACGGTGGGGGGTTTCAAGCTAAAGATGATGTCAACCTGTCTTAATGCACCTCTGCCATTTGTTATCCCTAAAGTATTAGTGCATGGTAAGTAAAGAGTACTTAAGTTTATTATTGCACTTAAAGTCACAGAGGCATTGTGAACATGGCAAATAAACTGATATTCCAGTAGATCTGGTAGTTATGGTAATTTGTTCAGCGTGTTGTCAAGTTCAGTAAAACAACTGGATAAAGGTTAAGGAAAGATTGTGGTCACGCTTACATTATAGAAAAAAAAACACACTACAAAGTAAAGCTCTTATTTGCTTCTTCTCCTTCACAGCGTACTTCGTCACACTGATTCAACCACACACAAACTGTCTCGCAGGCACAATTTAACAACAGTTTGTCAAGCTGCTATGCACTTGTCTTGGACAGAAAGGGCTGTGTGCTGCCTGAGCTTAATTGGTATTTGGTCCCGTCACCTTGTCTAAACCGGCCATGCAGTGGAAGCAGCACGTCAGCCCCACAATATCAGCAGCTGCTGTCCTCTCTCAGTGTCTATACTGGATCTGTTCAGCCTCAGTACTGCTGTGAACTCAAGAAATATTTGACAGACCTCACAGCCCAATACACAAGCATATGTGTTTATGTAAGTCAAAAAAGAGTGTTGAAAGTGTTGGAAACAGGCTGCAGGTTACATAGAGTGAATGAGGCACATGCCTCTATACAGCTGGTATACAGTAGTCAGCTTCATTGGATAAAATGTATCTTTTGAGTTGAGTTGATGTCACTTGCCAAATACATCGCAGAGAGAGGGATATTTGCAAGATAGAGACTGAAAGCGGCAGCCAGAACTATTTAATTTACACAAAATACACTTTAACACTGACATTCTCAAACCTGTCACAGGCCCAATAAGTTTGAATATGGCCTGGAACCTGCACTCAACAACTGTGGGACCTGGACTCAAATCACGAACTGTAGCTGTACTCTACCCTTTACTTACTGCCATGCTGCATTTTGTTGTGTGCACCACTGTATTCAATTTGGCCAAATAATTTAATGGTTTGATGGCATTGTGAGTAAAACGGTAAATAAGTTAAACTGAATAATGCACAACTTATTTTGACTATTATACAAAGATATGGGGAACAAATATGCTCCCTCACAATACAACCAGTTTGCTCATAAGGATTTGAAATGACAGAAACAATAGCCTCCATTTTAGTATTGTTGTATCTACTATGCATCATGGTCAAATTTAAGTATGTAACGCTTCCAAAATGAGCGGCAGTTTATAGATTTATGTTTAAAAGAATGACACATATTGTTTGCCCTGCTACTGTGAATGGAGTAAAAGAGGGCTTTTGTAATCAAATGTTTAGGGATGTTTGTAGTTGGAACAAAATTTGTGAATTTCTGTTAAGTGAAGATGTTGAGACATGTGGAAGTAATTGCAGAAAATAATTAATCTAAACATAATTACGTTGGTGTGGGTGGATCAGTTAGATACGATTCATTTACTCTGACTCTCATTTGTAAAAACTTGGTGTTTTCTAAAATAAGAAGAAAGCTAGTTAAAAGTATCATGAAAAATATTCCAACAGCTGGAATCTGTTATAACATGATGTTTTAATATCAATTTATCTACAAAATCTTGACTGACACCACTGTATTCTGGTCTTCATGGAAAGTGCACTGTCACTGAAGCAAAAGGAACATATAAAAATTACAAACAAACAGACTGTACCATTTACCATAAAATGTCCATTCATTTGGCATTGGTACTTACAGTATAAATGAGCAGAGTCATATTGAAACAGGATGGTTCAACTTTTATATAGCGATATCTGAATTTCTACTGTAGAATTTTTAATCTCTTCTTGTGAAACAGTTGTGCATTTTCTTGCTGATCCACCTCATTCTTTATGATATAGCACTGAAGGTAGTTGCCACAAAACAGAAACCGAAAAAACCAGACAAGTACATTCTTTCTGATTTCTCTCCTGATTTACCATACAGTTTGGTAATCCATAGAGACTGTAACCATTTGCCCCACAATGAGCACAATTCTTATGGCCAGGAGTTCTCCTTGAGGCCATGTACAGTCCAGATCTCCCATCAAGCAGCTGTTAACTGCACAGCTTGGTGGTCTCGTAATCCATTGAATTGGGCAGACGTGAACTGAAGGCCTGTAAGGAGGCATGAATGCGAACCACCTCGCTGGCAGTCAGTTTGAGCCGGTGCCGCAGAAGACAAGCAAACAGGTCTAACCTCTGTTGACCCGGAGGTGACAACCGGTTCACCCGATCTCGTATTTCCAAGAGCTGAAGCATGGCTGTGTCTTGGGAACCTTGGGTGTATGGGTAATCCAGCTGCAGAATCAAGTCACGGATTGCCTCTGGGTCAAAGTGCATGCTGTAGCCAAAGACCTGGATGCTGTTGATCTTCATATAGCCCAGGTTCCGAGCAGGATCTGTCACCTCTAAAGGCTCATAATAAATGCTGTCATTCACTCCATCTTGAGTCTTTATCCTGCTTCGAAGGTAGATATGAATGGTTTCAAAAAAGGTCTTCCACTTGTTGCCCAGTGTCAGAGTCCAGTTATAGCACTCAAAGGGTAGGTCCAGTTTGGTGGCCTGCCAGTCTGGAAAATTGTTCTCATTGACAGGGATGTACCAGCTCTCCGAGTGGCTCCCTCCAAAAGGGTTGATGTAGAGAGTGAGGACAGGCTCCAGGGTACTGTTCTTTGTAAGGCAGATCTGGAGGGATATTCCCAGCAGCATGTGGACCATATTAGACTTGTACTTGTTGCTCTTCAGGGTCAGCAGCATCCTCTTTCTCCATGATGGGTCAAACCAGCTGTTGAGTCTCATGTCATTGCTGATGAAGATTGCGTGGACCTATTTGAAAGACAGACATAAAAACAGTATAAATGTACCACACTCATGAACACAGTAAGTACATACATGTAGTGAAACATTTGTATTTGTATCAACAACACAAGAGCAAGAACACAATATATTGCTAAAGTTTTAATCACTGACTGTGGAATATTCATACATTTTGTGTATGAGAAAAAACAATTAAAAAATAATATTTTCTGTGCAGCACAAAGATGCTTATAATCCTTAAATGCATTTAATTTGCTCATTGTGGGTCCAATGAGCAAATTAAATGGAAATTAATGAAATTATTATGGTGCAATCTGAACATCCTGTTGCTTTAATACACACAAGGGCCAAAATGGCAGCACCGTTAGGTTTTTGGATCCAATGTTCACAAAAAACAGTAAGGCATGGAGGAATGGGAAGACTACTTTAATTGGATAATAATAGGTATTAGGTTGCTCCATACAGTTGAACATATCACCCCAAATATTATTATGTAGCTTGACAACAACATATAGTCCAACGCACTTGTTTTCAAAGCTTTCAGCCACATCCCATGGCCTTCTGTATGTAGTTGTTTAGAGCAACTCCATCCACTAAGGAAGGCCACATATATTATATATTATTATATTATAAGGTCAAGAAAGACCATTCAAGCTCATCTGTTTTTATTTATTAAGACTTGCACTATGTTGAGACAAAAAAAGGTTACTTATGTTTTTTTTTGTTTGCAACACTGCTGGGCCAGGTTTTGTCAAATAATGCCTGCTTGCCTTTAGTAAGTACTTACCTGCGTAATATTTAGGATAATGTAAGAAAGTAAACCTATTGACAATAACCATGATTGGCTCACCATATATCACCTACAGATAAAATCACTGCAAAACCTGAATTGACCTTGCATAACATTAGTGTCCATTCTAATCTATGTACCACAAACTGCTTCAGATGTAGAGAACATCCAAAACGTGGTACAAAAAAAAACAAGGGAAAACATGGGTAAACTGTGAAGTTCCTCAGTAGCCAGAAGAGCAATACTTTGTAATGCTGAGTGGCTCCCATGAGTGAGTATATCCTCCCCAGGCTACTGCTGTGAAAGACAGCTCAGCTCACGGTCAGCCTGACATGATTAAACAAAGGCTAAAAGAAAAAAATACCTCTAGCCTGCGGTCAGCTCTCTGCAGTAGGTAGCCCAGCTCCAAATCCTGGAGGTCTGTCTCAAATCCCAGGTAGTTCTCCGTAGAGTCTGCCACCATGGGCCTGCAGGCCCCCTGCGTCAGGGCAAAGCCCGGGTTGCAGCTCCCACAGCGGGTATGGTTGTCTGGTGCACATGCTGCGCAAGCCGAGCCTTCCCCAACAGAGCAAGGCGGTGGCAGCTGACAGGGGCTGTGTTCGTATCGACAGCTGCAGCTGTGGAGCTCCTCAGAGAATGCGCCAAGCTGGTTGTTCTCTGAGCAATACAGGAGAGACTGGAAATGACTCAGCCAGTAGGACTGAGGCCTGTGCCAGGGAAAGAAGAAAAACAGAAGGAGGAGAGAGAGAGGCAGAGAGGGAGTGGTTATTGAACAGGGCTTATAGGATGAGCTGGTTTAATAGGTAGCTGCTTTATTAGGTCCAGGACACCTGTCTGGGTGTGCAGACAGCTTGCTCGTTAAAAATATAAAGCATAATCAGCATAATGTAAAGCATGCAGACAAGCCTGACAGGATTCATTAAGTGTGGTTTAGGTAATATGCAGGTCAAACAACTTCTATGAAAGTTGTTTTATTTAGATGTCTAAGTTAAATAACCAACAGTGTTTCAATCACTACATTTCAATGCATACTTTGGACTAAAACACAGTTTATGCAAAACACTATTTAACCAAATTTATTTGGTCACGTGATAACAGCTGAACCATCTCCATGACAACTGAGCAAACTCTATCCACTGAAGGCTACATAAAATGACTAAAAGTTCCAGAGGATTTCCACATTCAAGCTCAAATTTGGCTTAAATGCAATGCTGATTGTGACCTGTGTAAGAAACATTGCTGTTGCCACACAGTTTCGGCATCACAAAAATCCATCTATGATTTATAGACATTACAAGGTTTAGAGTTGTATTCTAATGTCACAGTTGCTTACTAAGTGAATCCACTGTCTACTTTTTTTTCTGTTGGATATTTCTAGCAGGATAATGATGTCAAGATTGTATGGAAGTGTTTGCAGAAATACTTTCATGTTATTGAGTCAGGCTGGCCTGAGATTCCTGCGGAGTATACCAGTTTTCATGTTTTTGTTGTCCTGAAGTGCCCGATGAGTGTAGGTTACACATGCAAGGAATATGAGCGCAAACATCGGTGTTTGAAAAGGAAGAGGAAGCGAGAGACAGAGAGAGAGAGAAAGAAAGTTGTCTTTGATCAGTTTGTGACATAAATATTAGAAGTCTGCTGCCGCCGTAGGGTAACTGACTCTCAGACATACATATAATTCCCCCATGTGGGCCAGAGTTTGATTCCCGTCTGTAGCACTTTCTTGACTGTGATCCCTTTATGCCTCTTATCCTCTTTGCTCACTGAAGAGAAGAAGTGCACAGTATATACCGTTGGCTTTCCTTTCAGAAAAAAAAAAACAACCTTTTTCTTTGATGAGGGTGTATTGTGGTAAACTTTATGCTAATCTGAAAATGTTTGCTGGATTACATTTAGGGCATCCTTCCTCTGTATCCCAATCTTATTGTGTGCTTGTCAGTGGGATGCAAGTCTGAGTTCAGAAAATCAGTGATTTGAATATCAAAACCCCCTAATGGAAAAAGCAGTGATGGGAAATGAACCGAAGGGGCTCTTCCTTTCCATCACCCGCTACCTGTGGGCAAGGTATTTCACCTCCGACAGCTTCAGCAGAGCAAAGCACTCGCCAAGACAAGACTGCAGTTGTACTGTTAGTTCCCTGGTGTGATTGTGTACAGCCTTCCTGCTCCCTGCAACTCCTACTCCAAACCACTGCTGTAAATCACAGTGTCTTCTAACTTCTCTGCCACCTTTAAAGGAGCAGGCAACACTACGTTATAAAAATTTGTGTTTTTGCAAAAAAAAAACAAGCTTTGTTTCCATAGGTAATATTTTTGATAAAGAATATAGGGAAAACTGTAATTAAAGAAGATAAAGGGGCCTGTAGGTACGTTAAAAGAAATCTTTGACTGAAGTAATGTTCTATACATTGCCAAAAGTAGTGGACCTCCATTACAACCATTACAAAACAATTGATCACTGAACATTTCTCATTTCTCTGCTGCAAGAGCAGCCTGTACTCTTCTGGCTTTAGGCTTTTTACAAGATTTTGGAACATGGCTGCAGGTATTTGCTCCCATTCAGCCACAAGCAAATTAGTGAGGTTCAATACAGATTGGGTGAAAAGACCTGCCTCATGGTTGGCTTTCCCGTTCATCCCAAAGGTGTTGGATGGGGTTGAGGTCAGTAAAGTTCTTCCACTCTAAACTGTGAATTATGTTTTTGAGGGATTGACTTTGTGTATTGTCAAATTGAAACAGTAAACCAGTTGGAAGCTCACTGATGCCTAAAATACCATTGTATGCTTTAGCAGTAAGATTCCCCTTCATTGTAATTAAGTCGTAAACTGTGTATGAACAAGCTGTATAACACCTTTCCTGTACAATTTAACATAATCGAAACAGTATGAAGCTGTACAGATGAAATTGGTCTGATCTACTGAATGCCTTGACAAGTTCATTAAAAAGCTATTCAACATTTTTAGAGTCAAATCTTAATTGCACTCTCTTAGTAGTCAAACAAAGCTGAGAGGACTCCTCCAGACAAGACCTTGACGTTCATGAGAAAATCAGGCACCTTTTTTTTGTGGAGATGGCTGTGCATAAGAAAAGGCATTTGCCAAGCTGATTAAAGCAGAAGTACTGAAAACATCACTTGAATGACAATGTGCATCATTATGCCTAATGGCAAAAGTTTGAGCACAAAGTGTACTGTGTAGTCTTATCATTACCCGCCTAATAAAAGTGAAGCTGACTGCGGCTTCGACTGGCTTATTCGCTCATAATTGTCAACGCAGAGTAAAAGTAGCCCCCAGGAAGCAAAATCAATCACATATCTCTCATCTATCTCAAGTGCCTCAAACAGGATGTTAAAGGGAGAGTGAGGGTTTTTTCGAGAGCTTCCGTTTTTCTCCCAGGCAAACTGACAAACATCCTATTCTCAATCTCTTTCCACTGAGTATCGAGATTTCTGTGAAGACAGAAAAGAAAGGGAAAGCTTCACAGTTGACGCGGTGGTAATAACATAGATAAACACTGCCTGGATGAGGGTAACGACGCTCCAAATCCGTTTCCTAGCAAGTGGGTGGGAATATCAGCTGCATAGATCAGTGATTAATGTGTGTTTTGGCATGTGGTGGAGAGAACGAGACAGGGCAGTACACTGAGAGAGAGTAAAGAAAGTGAGAGAGGAAGACTGGACATTGAACAGAATTAACTGTATAGATTAATCTTGATTCATCTCTAGCATCGCTGCCATTACTGTGGAAGCTCAGTAGATGCTGTGTGACTGACAGTGATGGTTGGATTCATCACCATCGACAATCAGCGGAAGGTAGCCTAGTGAATATGAATTTTATTCAGTCTGAAATTCAGAAACTGTCCTCACCAGAAAAACACTTAAAGTGACCTATGTCTGTTTTTTTTTACTGACAAGTGGCCTCTTTTTGGCATGTGAATAATGATTGTCCTCTCTTAGCAACAAAGGCATGTTGTTGTTATAACATTGCAAATAGTCATGGAGGACGTTGAAGTGGGTGATAGGTTGCACAAAACACAAAACTCTGACACCAGAGAGCATGATTTATTTTCTGTGTCCTAACAGTGTTAGGACTAACAGTCAACATTGGTTTCGTTTAACCTTGATGGTGATTTTTCTCAACATCAACAAATAGTTTTCGTCTCAGCTGTGTTGAAACACTAGTCAAAAACTGATTAGAAAAAAATACTGTAACACCTGTTTAACATTGATAGGATGGGTGTGAAAGTGCTGTGTTGTAACCTTATTTACTAACATATACTCGGGCTATGACTCAACAAATGTTCGAATTTCATCTCATTTTGCAAACCGATGAAATACAAAATATCATACATACGTACACATCCGAGGCTGAGAAAAATATAAAATTGTAAAGGTGGAATGTTCTTTGCAGCCATGAATCCAATGTAGATAATCTGCTTTCAGAGGGATTTCATGGAGATGAAGTCCGGTGAAATGAAATAAAGATTTCGTGCAGATTTCATGAAGGTCCATAAAGATTTAATGGAGCAGACTTGTGGATTAAAGTATACTGTTGGAGCGGCTGATGACAGCAAAGTAGGGCAGAAAAGTTAATTTACGGTGATCTGCAAATGAAAGATGTGGTAGAAAAGTTGGACCGTACTGCAGATGTTTAACTTGTTTTATTGGTATTTCACTGCAAAAAAATATATCTTGGCGAAAGCTGTACAAAAGAGATAAAAATTTAATCCTTTACATACACCAAAGGGGTATTGCGATGGTATACAAGTAAAATGCCACCACAGCGTGGCAGCTTGTTTACTTCCACCTACGTTCCTGGATTAGTCTATAGAGAGTACTGTAGGCTGTGATTCGTTGCACAGTAGCTTTGGACAAAACATTGCCACAACCTTGCAACCGCTATGGGGGTATAGATCAAACAGAAAGGGAAGAATGTACAAAAAGAAAAGTACACTGCTTTAATGTAAATATTGACTGCAGTAGGTTTACTCATAGTGTCCCTTGACTAAAACATATTAAAGCCTTGTCAAATTGTAAAAAGTCATATATATTAGATGTACACAGATAACATGCACCTGGAGAAAATGAAAATGTGTGTTTCAGCGGTCATGCTCACCGTTCCCTTGGCAGGCGGACTTGGGGCTGTCGGTGACATCTTTTACTGAGACTGAATAGCTTGAAGATGACTCTCTGGGCTCGTTTGGAGAGCACCCGCATGCTGTTCTCCAGCTGCTCATATCGCCACTGGAACAGGTTGTCCATCGACCACAAGTGTTGGATTGTTGACACATTCAGGAAATAGTTCTGGGGCAGCCTCGCATAGAACGCCTTAAATTCATCTGTAACAGAAAAGACACATAAAAGGGGTTATTTTAGACTTTAAACCTCAATACAGTGTTGTTGTGTGTATTTCCAAGAGGACTGTTAGTTTTCACTATCCTCTAAACTGCATGCAACAGGTACTATAAGAAATGTTAGTCACCACACCTGTATTTATACCAATACTGTATAATCTGGTATTTATCAATATCAATTGACTGATAACAGAATTTACAGCATGAGTTGTGGCATTTTACTTCAGCACATGATGGATAACATGGTACCTTATTTTGCCAGTTAACAGTAAATATATCTACTCTATGTGGGCTTTGATTTTTCAGTCTTGTTTACAACATGTCTAGGCTGCTTACAAGAACACATTTATGTTTATGCTTGGCTCCCATTATTAATGTCCTGCAGTGGCTTTTTCATGGGTCCAGCTCATATAATATATTTACTCTGGTCAATGATGACCACCTGAACCCAAAGACCTCGTAAATACAATGTGATATTTTCTGAATTTATGACTTAACAAGCATCACCTCAACGCTCCATTAAACAATTGGCCAGTGCACACTGGATTGTGGGATACAATAAAATGCAAAGGGTGCGCCAGTTGTGTCCTCCAGGTTGAAGCAAAAAATGGCCCATTTGTAGGAGCCTGAGTTGCATTTGAAGGAGCCTTTGAAATTGGAGAGACCTTGTCAGCCTGCTTTATTTGGGCTAGAAATGTGGACTTTGGAGTTGAATTGGGACAAAGCACATAGAAGGTGGTGCTTTGAAAAGCCAACTCAAACATTTTCATCATATTCAGTAAAGCAAAAAGGAAACCAGGATCCAGAATGACACCTAAGATGGTAAACAATGAAGGAGGCTCCACTTTCAAGCAGAAAGGTCTTATCACCAAGAGACAAAATATGTATTCTAATTATTTTGAAAATTTGTATTGTTTAAAAATGCAAAATACACCAGATAGAGTATTACTACTGCAACAATCTGTAATACTAGATACTAGATATGTCTTAAGTTTGAGTTTAATTGGAAAAATATGATGACTACTGCCACATTCATCGTCTTCACTTTATCATCATATTATAAATAAATTAATTATGTTTAGTCTGAATGCAGTAACTACATTAACTATACTTTATGGACAGTTGCAACACTGAGCTAAAAAAAGGGGCCTGCCTGAAATAAAATGTATTTGTTTGGATGGGAAATGTATTTCTGATTCTAGTATGTCCTTTTTGTCATCATTTGGTTCAACTTTAACTATTATATATACTGTCAATGCTTAGACCACTTTCTGGCATCCTCCTCTGCTGATAAAGCAGCGAACAATCCCCCGCTGAAGGACACATTTATGACACTTGTGGGGGTCTGCATTCTGAGCACGCTCCTGCCCTCACTTCACACCCAGCTATTAAAACATAAACTTTGAAAGTAATTGCACTTAGGGATATTTCAGCCAAATCTGAGGAGTGGAAAAAAAAGACATCCATTTTGATTTCACCTGAGTAATAATCACCAAGGCAGGGTGACCGAGCACCGCAATAATAACCAAACATTATGCTAGGAGCTTCTACTCAAACTCTGTTTCCCCGGTGATATGAAAAGCCGGACTCGCAATAAATGGGTTTTATAGCTGATTAATCTGCTCCAGACATATTGTAAACTACCTGAGCCGAAAGCTGTTGATTTTTTTAATCCGGTCCTGTCGCCTTGTTAATTTGCTTTATGCAGATAGTGTGCACATGAGCCAGGATTCACAACCAGCTATTATGGTTCACCTATAAATCATAGAATAGGGAGGAACATACATATAGGATCGTCACTCAGATTTAATGGTGCAGATAAAACACTTGAATTCATCCCCACTCCCTCTCATATGAATGATTTATATTCTGAAAGCTTGATTTCCTTACATTTAGGATGAGGCATGCAATGTGAAAGGAAGCAAAAATCCAGTGAGAGTGCTCCATTACCTGATTCCTCAAACTCTTTATAGAGGATCCCCCATGTCTCTGTGATCCTCTCCAGGCTCTCCTCCATGGCTTGGATGTCCATATAAGGGCAGTTGCACTCTGGGAATTTGGGGTCACAGTTGCACCAGCAGTCGTTGTCCTTGCAGCCAAATTCGCCCTCTCCATTACAGGCTATGTAGCTTAGAGCAGCCTGCACAAAACTTTCCCTCAAGTAGTCTGGAAGGATCACCTGCAAGCCTGTAAAACGAAGCTGGGTTTACTATCGTAATCAAACTGAACGTGGGGAGTGACAGTCAAAGTGCAGTGACAATATTATGCTGGCTGAGTTTATGACTTACTTAATACAATCTATGAATCTGTATATTTGTATGCCATATTTATCCCTTCTCCATATACCTTTTAGAAGAATATTTGATCTTTAAAAACATGACAATCATAATAGTGGGACAAATCAGACAAACCTTGCAGCTGGACTTTATTTTCAGGGCTCTGAACCAGCACGGAGCTAACAGAGTCAAGGTTGTCATAGTTACTGCATCCAAGAGGACCTGTGCGGGTCTCTGTCACCTGGGCAACAACAAATAAAAAGCTCATTTATTCTACACAGCATCCATTTTACAACTAGTGCATGGTTAAGTTAAATATATTTAAGCAAAACTAAATTTAACGTGTTCTTCTAAATTTCAGATACAAAATGAGTTTGAGGGGAGCCCAAGAAAGAAAATGTGCCTTGTGTAACATAAATGCCTTTCCCTGTTTAAATTAAGTAGTTCATAATCGATTGTACTTCAGAATGTGAAAGAAACAGAAAACTGGGGTAGGCTCATTTAGATTCTCCTAAATTGCTGAAAGAGTTCTTTGCTGCACTCATTTTTTCTGCAAGAATGCTAAAACGTTTCTTTTTTTGTCCAGTCACTGATTGAAGACGTTTCGATTGACCTTTGCCACAAAGCAGCTCCAGCAAAGCATCCTTTTTCACTTCATTTGCAAGAAGAGATCTTATTTCAGCACTCTCCTTTTTCTTGCTGTGACACAGCAGGGAGCATCTAACTGATTCTCATTTTTCTCTCTTTGTGGTTCTGGGACACCATATTTTGTTCAGCGATTTGTCCTGGTCAGGCTTGTCAGAGGACAGTTGGTGTAAAGTGACAGATGGATGAGGCGAGACAATGAGGGTCAGTCGATCAGTAACACAATCATAGAGGGCTGAGGGGGTTGGGAACTTATATGAGGCCAATGCTGCAGGGAAGTGAAATCTCTGTGTGGGGTTCTTTAATAAAAAGCCTAATCCAGAAGAAAGGGGTTTGTGAGCGGAAGAATAAATATCCTCTGGGAATGGGAAAAGGAAAATGAAGATAATTTTAGCGCAATTCTTCGACTATAATATTTATATCACATTATAAATCCCTTGTTTCCCTCGTGAGGGATTCTAATCCTGATATGAATGTGAGGAAATGAGATACAACCATGGGTTTCAGACCACATGAATATTGAATCCATATAAGGAATTATTTGATATGCCATATGATATGCCATATGGCAAAACACTGACTGATGAGCAGAGCATTCAATTTCCGCTTTGCATAGCAGCTGCTATTCACTGTAGATGCATTCTGGTATATTAAAAATACTTAATAGGACATTATTGGCCACCTGTATCTTGGCACAAGGCTGTATGAGGGAAAGAAGCAATGGCTGGCACTTTGTGTAAGAATTGTATCTTTTTTTCATGATGTGAACTTTTAGTCCAGGAGCTATAGTACAAGTACTTCACTGACTCATTCAAACAGAGCGAGATAAATGCATTGGAAGAGGAAAGCTTTGATCATTGCCACATACAGCAGATAAGTATTTCTAAAGGCTAAAATCTTATGAGTTACAAAAAAATAGAAAATGTTTACAATTTATATTCCTGGTCTAAATAGTCCCGGTAAATAGTCTTCCAGAGAAGTTGACATATGCTCAATCACTTTTAAATGAAAGCATAACCTATAAACCTATACAAACAAAAACAAAAAAAAGCTACATTCAATAATTTTGGGCGACCAAAGAGCAGCATGCCCACTGCCTGACATACTGGTAAAATTGTTATATGTAACACCTTAACAAGCAAAATAGTTGCAAACAAGTTATTTTTTTATTTATTTAATGCACTGACAATGTTAGGTGATGGTCATTTGGAGCACCGAATGGGCATGGAACTCTCTCAAGTGAATCACTAATCCAAAACTGCTTTAGAATATATATTTTTCTTTAATACAAAGGTCAGAGATACAAGCTTGTCTACATAAAAAAAGTGCATTGTGGTAAGAAAAGTCCAATCAGTGAGCTTAAAATGCTTATGTGGGCCGCTGGCAATAATGTGCAGCCTGTATGAATTCCTTTCAGATTTATACTACTTTTTTATATGTTTCTATTTAGTGTCATTATGCCCGAAACATGCTGTCAAGTTAGCAGTCTGTCTACTCTGTGCTAGTCCAAACTACAATCGATGGAGTCAGAAACACAAAAATGTATTTCTCTACCATAATGAGAACACAATACAATCGAAAGGCTGCCCACGAGATGAAAATATGAGACCAGAGACTCCTGCCGTTTCCTCGTTTAATTCTGTCGCCTTGTTGATCACAGATCACAGTGCAGACAGATGGGCAAATATGGCCCAGTTCAGTTGGGGATATTGCCATCAATTTAGTCTAGGAAATTTTCAAATCGCAACAAAAATGATCCCTGATGCTTTTGAACAACTGGAGTCATTACTCATTGTACAAACGAGCCGATCCGATCACACTTTGCTCTGCGTCGTGACTTCTTTAAGAGAGCCCACATTTCCACAGTCAACCACCAGTACGCCACAACAGTAACAGGCTTTTCCTCCAAAATGAGCTTCAATTTACCCTTTGCATGGAGACAGCAGGGGGGCCTTTGCCTCGCCAGCCCACTTCATTCATTCCCCAACTTGTTCGATTTCAGATTCATGCAGAGGAGTGCTCAGTTGTATCTGTT